CACGGATGGCCCATGTTGGGTGACCTGGGCTTGTGGAGCTCTGGGACCCCAAAAGGGGGGTGGATCCCAAAACCCAGGCTCCAACCAGAGCCCAGACATCTACACTGCAATTTTATAGCCCTGCAGCCCAAACAAAGCCAGCTGACATGGGCCAGCTGTAGGTGTTTTACTGCAGTGTAGACATACCCTCAAACAGCCACTCTCCACCAAGAGACACAAATTTGTTAATAGTGCCAACTCAAAATATAAACTTATTTTTATGAAGGGGAAAGTTTTTCCTCCTAGTTTCCATTGTCAGAGAGTGAGATTTATAATGGTTCTTCTATTTGGGGCCAGAAATCAGTGAAAGCATATGGTACCATTTTAAAAGGAGAGCATCCAACCAACTTCCACAAACAAAGCAATTATGGGGTGGGGGACTGAGTGCACTGACATCTATGATTTTTAAAGAGCTGATTTAATATAAAAGATATCAATTGACAGTACTGAAATCCTTTGCCCACCCACAGGACAGCTGCATTACAGAAAAGGGCCATACTGAGGCTAGGTATATACTATACACTTATATCAGTATAACTACATTGCTCAGGGGTGTGAATTTTTCACACCCAAGTGACAGGTATACCAACCTAAATGTAGAGAGCGCTATGTCAATAGGAGGGCTTCTTCCGTTGACACAGCTACCGCCTCTTGCGGAGGTAGATTAACTACGTCATCTTCCACTGGCATAGTAGCATCTTCACTGAAGGGCTACAGAAGCACAACTACACTGGGGGTTGCGGCAGCATTTTAGGTATAGAGGTGACCTCAGTCTCATCACTTTTTCTCAGCCCTCACCTTGAGAAGCTAGCCATTCACCTACATCCACTACACCTTTGCCCTTCAGAAAAGCTGAAAAGGTGCCAACTCCAATTGTTACAGGGTGACTAGGTCCTTCAAGAGGAGGCAGGGACCAATGCACCTGATTGATTAGTTACCTTCCGAATGGGGTTAAGAGAAGACACCTAAGCCATATAAAGGAGAAAGTGAGAAGAGGGACAGATGACAGCTGCGTGAGGAGGAAAGGACAGATGCCGGGAGAAACAGAAGCAGCAAAGGAGAGCTGATATAGAGAGCCACCAGGAAGAACAAAAGGTACAGAACATTAGTGGTGAGGACTGGCCAACGCTGGTGAACCCCTGCTGACTTACAAGAAAGCTTATACAAAGGCCCCTAGGACACAAAGGGAAGAATAGCCTGAAACAATAGGATTGATGCAAGTCAGGAGAATGGCTCAGTCAGGGAGGCCTGGGTGAGTGGAACACTGCTAGGGAGTTCTCATAGGGGAGACTTGTCTTGGGGCTACCAGAGAATAGTCACGGTAAGGAAACAAATCTGGGACCTCTCAAGTGGATGGCCTGGAGACCAGAGCTCTGGAACATGACAGATGACATTCCAGAAAGGGGTATGGAAAAAAAGCCGAGAATCTCCTGTACTTTGGGATTGTGGAAAGAATGATTTTATCATGAGGGTTCTGCAGATTATTCAATATATACAAGAATAAACTATGACTACAGACAGGCCTTTGAACTGAACATTGAAAAAGAGTTTATTTAATGGCTGGACCAAGAGGAAACAGACAGGCACACACATCATGGTGCAGTTTGTGGCTTGGGGCTCATCTTGTCATAGTGATGAAGAAATAAATGGACAGACCAACTCATTTCTCATAAGCTACGCAGCCACTAACCATGAAAAATAACTGCTTTGAGAAACCCATTCTCACATGCTGTTGGTTGTGTTTATGTAGATCATTTATATCATGGCTTTTAAAAATAAAGCAGAATTTCCTCCCCACTTGAAAGTTTCTCTCAAGCTGATAGATATCTGATTTGTTTTTTTGGTTTAAAAAGAAAATTTCAGGAGTGTTGAGTGATGGAACACTTACCTTTGGAGACAAACTCGATTACATGCAAATATTCTATAGTAATATATATAGCCTCAATCCTGCAAACACCTAATGTGTATAATTATATTCATGGGAGTAGTCCAACTGCATTCAATGGGATTACTCACTGGGATAAACATTTGCAAAACTGGGCCCTAAAGGTGCATTCACCCATCATCCACCCTTATTATTACAGCTTTGGGACTTGCTTGCTCTTACTTATTTACCAGGCCAAGTCAAGATGAAACCAATGCTGACAAAGTCTGAAATTTATACTCCCTAGAGAAGTGGCTCTCAACCTACTTATATATTGTGGGCTGAATCCATATATTGAGGGTATCACATGTATCACAGCTGTGTACTGATGTCCATGACCTTGCTTTAAGCATGAACCCTCTCCAAACTGTCTTATTCCAACATCATATGATCCAGCAGGACTTAACAGCTAGTCGTCTGAAAGCCTAAACTTGTTGAAGGCAGTTAAGCTGCCTCTATTTCCCCCACTGTATGTTCACTTAAGCTACGCTACTCACATTGTGTGATGGAAGTACTTAGCTTCCTCTCATCACCAATGGGTTTATTACTTAAAACAGGACTAGGTTCTAACTGAGTAGGACACTTCTAATTTAGTCAGACCCCATTAACGCTAACTACCATAAATATATCCTGCTACAAATCATCTTCCATCCACTGAATGTGACGTCAATTGTCCAGCCAACATTTAAGTGGCTGTGTGGCGCTGGAAAAACAGATTTAGCAGCAAAGAAGAGATTCAATTCCCTCTAATAAGAGTGTGGCACACGATACATTCACCATTTGTTATGTACACAGTGATTGAATGATTGTACCTACTGTAATTTTGAAATGGTCCATTTGATAACTTTTTTATTTTATGAACTCCTCAATCCCTAATTAGTTTATAAAACTGGAATGTACTGTACAAGTATTCACGTTACACAAAAAACAGCTTTTAATATACCTTTGGTCCCATGGTGACAGCTACAGCATCTGCTAGAAGATCTACTCCCTGTAGCATGAGAGCTCTAGCCTCTGCTCCAAATTTAACATCTTTTGCATAGGCCCGTAGTAGGTGTGGGGCCAGTGCTCTGGACACTGGCCTCATCTGACGTAGCACTGTTGATAAACGGAGCATTTCTGAAGGAAAAAAGTAAGATACTGCATTAGTTTTATTGTGTCACAGTACTTTGAACCACCATATTCCTGTGTTTTGTTCTCAAACTCCTCCAAACATTTAGAGCAAACAACAAGTTACTAGTAGTTTTTTTGAGTTTTAAATGAAAGCTGTGACCGATCAAATATTTTAGTGTCCCAATTTTTCTAACAGTTGGATATTAGAGCAAAAGTCCAGGAGTCTGGACCCCTGGATTCTAATCCCAGCTCTTCCAGTGACTCACTGTGTGATCCTGGGCAAGTCACAATTTTTTCCTTCTGTAAAATGGGAATAAAGTTTATCAAGCTCACGAGAGCATTGTGAAGTTCACTTTTTGTATGTGAAGAGATTATAGCCACAGCAATGACGAGTGTTGTGAGACTACTAGTATTATGTATGATAAAGCAGGAAAAGTGGGGTATTTCACTGAGACTATTACAGACAAGCAGGTTAGAAGAAAATGTCTGTCAGAGCTCAGCAGCTTTATCAGCATAAAAATCCTAAAAGTTGCTATTAGAATGTGATCGTGAAAAACGAACAGTTCAAGGGTGAGAGCATCTGGTGATAAACTAACAAGAAAATTGCAACAGTATCAACAGCCTGGCAGAGAAAGTCTGCAGAACCCAGGCCTATCCCCCCTCCACATGGTTCTCTCCATCAGGACACAAGAAGGTCACGAGACACTCGCCCCCTGCTGCTGGATGAGCCAACCTGCACAGCCAGCGGAGCCACCCGCATGGAGGCCCCTTCTCCCAGAGACTATGGGAGAGGCTGTACCTGCAGCCCAGCACGAAAAGGCATGACACCATGCCGCTCACAGGGCGATGCCGCCACTCCCGCAGGGGTAGCCAAGGGCCGGTAACGCTTCCAGCGCAGAAGAGAGGGGAACACAGCACGCAGGAAGCCGTGCGCAGCCCCCTGTATGTCTCTCTCACACAGCCCCACACCCCCCTCCCAGGCTGAAGGCGAAGGGGATCTCTCTCTCACACACACACACACACACACACACAGATACACAACCAAGGGCAGGAAGCGGGAAAATCGCGCTCTCTCTCACACACACACACACACACAAAGGAGAGCAGGAGGGGGAAACCGCACACCCAGGCAGGCGTCTCCTCTCTTCTCCCCCCGCCCAGCGTCGGAGGTGGGGATCCCCCCCCCACGCTCCCGCGGGCTGGAGGCGGGGATCCCCGTCCCCCGCCGTGGGCACCAGGTGGGGGCAGGGTCTCTCACACACGGCCCAGGCCTTGTGACACCGGGCACGTGCGGGAAGGGGCGTGCGCGCTCCATGGCGGCGGGCAGGGCTCGGGGAAGCCGCGAGGAGCCGTCCCCTGCCCCCCCAGCGCCGATGGCCGCCCCGCGCCTGCAGAGGCTGCCCGGGCGGCGCCCTGGAGGCACGTGGCTAGCGGGAGTAGAGGCCCCGGCGCGGCCAAGAGCGGCAGGGGAACAGGCGTCCGCGCCGGGCCCCGCCTCAGCGGCACAAGCCGCCAGGCCGCTCACCTGAACACGGCGGGCAAGGCAGCAGGCGGCTCCGCGGTCCGCAGCTGGACGAGCAGCGCAGCGCTGTGTGACTGAGTGACGGGAGCCTGGAGGGAACACTGCACTCACAGGCTCTGCCCCTCCCCCGCTCAGACAGCGACCCATGTGGGGTCCTGTGCGGCCAGGCCCCGCACCCAGCATAACAGTATACGTTTGGCCCAGCTGGAGGCGGGGCGCGGCTTTCCGCCAATCGTTCAAGTGCCCAGCCGGGGAGTGGGCGGGGCCTACGGGACTGTGCGTCCTATGCGTGAGCTCCGGCTACTCGCGTATGAATCAAACAGGTTTTGGGGCCTCCCAATTCCAGAACCTTCTGGAAAGCTCATGCTCGCCACAGGTCAAAGGTGGTATTACGTCACTTCCGGGTGTAGGCCCGATGCAGGGTGTAACGAGGAACTATTGAGGCTCGTGTTCGGCTCTGCTGTAAAGAGAATCCGGTTCTAGCGCGTAAGGCGCCTGCAAGAGTAAAAAATAAACGTGGAAATAACGTGTCTTCTCGGGACAACGGAAATAGCCCCGCCTTCCCGCGCGCGGCGCCAGAGGGGAGGTGGTGGCGCATGCGCAGTCAGAGTGGCACCCCCCACGTGTATTAGGTGTGGGTCCGCGGCGCTCCGTTACTCACAGCACGGTGAGCGGGAGGGACTCGGTGCGCCATGGTGAGTGTCTCCCTCTCCTCGCGCGGCCCGGCCGGGGGCCCTTGGGCCGGGCTTGCGCGCGGGGGGGGGGCGCTGCGGCAACTAGCGCGGGGTAGGTGGGAGGGACGCAGGTAGGGGCCGCGCTCCTGCTTCTCTCCAGCACGTTGTGGTGGGAAGGGAGGGAGCTGCTCTGGGGGCCCCGCCATTGCCGCCCTTGGGCTGTGGGCCTGTGCGGGCACGGGGTCCATCGGGTCTTCCGCCCCCCCCTCTCTCAGCCAGCGGGCACGGGGGCCATCGGGTCTATGCACCCCCCTCCCCCGCCCAGCCAGGGGCAGGGGGCCATCGGGTCTATGCACCCCCGCCCACTCGCAGCCAGCCGGCAGGGGCCATCGGTCTTCCCCCCCCTCCCAGCCAGCGGGCACGGGGGCCATCGGGTCTATCACCCCCCCCCCTCGCAGCCAGCGGCACGGGCCATCGTCTTCCGCCCCCCCCTCTCTCAGCCAGCGGGCACGGGGGCCATCGGGTCTATGCACCCCCTCCCCCGCCCAGCCAGCGGGCACGGGGGCCATCGGGTCTATGCACCCCCCGCCCACTCGCAGCCAGCCGGCACGGGGGCCATCGGGTCTTCCGCCCCCCCCCCTCCCAGCCAGCGGGCACGGGGGCCATCGGGTCTATGCACCCCCCGCCCCCCTCGCAGCCAGCGGGCACGGGGGCCATCGGGTCTATGCACCCCCCTCCCCCCGCCCCCCTCGCAGCCAGCGGGCACGGGGGCCATCGGGTCTATGCACCCCCCTCCCCCGCCCCCCTCGCAGCCAGCGGGCACGGGGGCCATCGGGTCTATGCACCCCCCTCCCCCGCCCCCCTCGCAGCCAGCGGGCACGGGGGCCATCGGGTCTATGCACCCCCCTCCCCGCCCCCCTCGCAGCCAGCGGGCACGGGGGCCATCGGGTCTATGCACCCCCTCCCCCCGCCCCCTCGCAGCCAGCGGACACGGGGGCCATCGGGTCTTCCACCCCCTCCCCCGCCCCCTCCCAGCCAGCGGGCACGGGGGCCATCGGGTCTATGCACCCCCTCCCCCGCCCCCCTCGCAGCCAGCGGGCACGGGGGCCATCGGGTCTTCCACCCCCTCCCCCGCCCCCCTCGCAGCCAGCGGACACGGGGGCCATCGGGTCTTCCACCCCCCCTCCCCCGCCCCCTTGCAGCCAGCGGGCACGGGGTCTCTCTCCTCCCCCCCCCCCTTGTAGCCTCGCAGTGATGAGCGCACGGGCGTCGGTGGGTTGCGTGGCCTAGCGCCGGGCAAGGCTGCACCTCATGCCTCGGAACCTAGTCCTCCAGTCCGTCTTTGGCGGGCTTGCTGAGCCAGCCTTTCCACCCCCCCTTGAGAAGTTAAGCCAGTGATCCGATATAAACACCAGCTGAATAGGAGCTGAGATTGTAGCAAAACACCATGTTCTTGCTGTGTGCTGGTGGAAACAGAAATGTGTCTAACTTCTGGCTACCATAAGTAGTTGTGAAATGAAAGGCAGCATGCCTTTGTAACGGAATTTGCTGTCAGGAGCCTCTGAAGTGAACATGTATTCCAAGTTGACCTGTAACTCACCCAGCAACAATCTTTTTAAATTAATTAAACTATTTTTTCTCTTTTTGGCCTATCCATGAAAGTGACCTTGCATGGTTACAAGGTCATTTAGATACAGTAGAAACTGCTACACCGATAGAAACAGAGAGAACAAGGATGTTCTTCTCTTAAAATGTTTTTGCTTTGTCACCTATCAGAAACAATGTTGTTTTAAAAAAAAATAGAAGCAAGACTTAATACACAGAGAGTGAGCTCATATTAGGCATCTGTAATGTGTCTTTAGACAATGTTAAAGCCTACAGAGTTTGAGGGAAAAATTCCTTTTGCCTTTTTTCTGCTATTGTATCAGAGGGGTAGCTGTGTTACTGTATCCACAAAAACAACAGGAGTTTTAAAAAGGTAACTCCCTTCTCTTTATGTGCCAATATATATTTATGCCCGTAGCTGTAATTTTCACTCCATGCATCTGAAGAAGTGGGGTTTTTATCCACAAAAGCTTCTGCTCAAATAAATGTTAGTCTTTAAGATGCCACCAGACTCCTTGTCATTTCTTTTATTGATTCTTCCCTCATGCTGTCTTTCCTGTGAGAGAAATTACTGATTCAAAAAAACAGGATTTAGTATAAAAGCCCCTAAATGCTTAAATCTAAGTTACTTAAACTAAGTGTTTTCAGCATGTTGATAGTGTTGCCCATGTCTTAATAGAAATGGGGGATGATCCACAATTAGCTAATACTTTTGTGAATAACAGCTACCTGCTTCCAAGTAGCTCTGCTTCTGTTAGTAGCACTGGTCTGTGAAGACAGTTCTTATTCTTTTCTTGTGTAGCAGCAGCCCCTAATGGAGGGACCTCATCTTGTTCCTTCTCCTAGTTTCCAGCTGCTTCTACAAGTGTCCAGGCTGTGGCGTCCAGACATCTGTAGAAGCAACTGGAAAGGAGCAGGGAGCCAGCACCATGTGACTTGGCAGTTCTCCACAGGCCACAACTTGATTATTTTTTAACTAAAACGTGTTCCCACTCCCTGTGCCTCCCTTTCTTGTGTTGCCTGCTTAGTGAAGTTGTAGGGATGGCAGACTGGTATGTGGCTTCTGCTCTGTGATCTCAAACACTATTACCTGCTGACTCAGTAGTTAAGACTGACATTGACAGCCCTAGGCTGGTAACATTTTTACCATTGCCTCCTGCTAACTTCAGTTCAAAATAATTGCAATCCTCAGTGCTAGCTTCGGGTTTCCTTTCTCCATCCTGAGCTGCTTTCCCCCTCCTGCTGTCTGTTTCTTCTCCAAGAAGCAAAGTGGCAATGTTTGTAATATACTTAAATGTATCATATGTTAAACTTTACACAAAATTATAAATCTTAACACTTTTGTAAAAATCACTGGACGGTATCTGCAAAACTTTTTGCAGATAATGGCATTCCTTCAAACATTTTTTTGTACACCTTATCTCAAACTTCAAAAGCTGGCAAAAGTAGATGAGTTAATAGTCTTCTCTCCCAAATAACTTAGCACAAAATTGTACCTTAATTATTGTATGGATTGTAAACTTGAATATTTCAAAAGCTTTGACCAACATGTGACATGCTTAATCTTTGCTTCTTGGTTTTGAAGCATTCAGCTAAAATAACTACGCCAACTGTTCCACAAGTGTCTTATATCTTAGCTATAGGTGACTCTGATTTCAATCTGTATGTGAACTGCATTTAATCAGAAGTAATTAATCTTAATAACATATATTATGCTTTTTAGATCTACAGAGATTTAAACTACATAAGGTTTCCCTAAAGCTTTCCTCATCTGTTAATGTTTTAAGTTATCTTAGGCAGTTATTTAAAATTTATTTAAAATTCTGTGCATTTTAACTGTTAAACTTGTCTATTGCACATATTGAGACTATTTAGGAGCCTATTCCTTCTATAGACTTATGGGATACCTTCTTACAACAATAATTTAGCTCTGTTTTTGCTTAAATATTAACTTACTTTTGGGCCTAATTCAGAGAGCTGCTGAGTACCTGCAACCTTCATTGACACCAGTGGGAGTTGCAGGTGCTTAGAATCCAGTCCTTAGTTTGCTATTTAAATAGTAAAATCATGGTTTTGGAACTTTGGATTGCAATTTTGTTGCAGTCTCAAATGTGAATGGGCCCTTTTTATATACAAAAATACCAAATTCTATTTTAACAGGCAGGGAAAGCATTTAGGAAGTTTCTTCCCCTGTTTGACCGTGTTCTGGTTGAAAGATGTGCAGCTGAGACTGTATCCAAAGGAGGCATCATGCTTCCGGAAAAATCTCAAGGAAAAGTGCTACAAGCAACAGTAGTAGCGGTTGGATCAGGATCCAAAGGAAAGGTAAATATGTCCAGATTTTGCACCATGCGAACGTTTTTGGATAAAAGAAATAAAAGTGGAATGTTATCTGGAAAAAAAATCAAAATAGCTAAAGGATGTTTGTCATTAAATTTATATTGTGTCTGATCAGAACAATAAGTATAATATTTTGAAGAGGAAGATGTCTCCTCCCCCTTCCCCCCCCTCCCCCCAATTGATTTTTGACTGGTTTTGCTGGCCCTGCTCAGTCATATGGTGCCGCATGGCCCCATCCTGCACAGCAGCTTCTGGAGCCTGCAAGCTGTGGCTGTGGGGAGAGGCAGTGGAAAACAGCTGGGAGCTGTGTGGTGAGTTGCTGCTTTTGCTGCTGCCTCTCCCCAGGGAGCTAAAGCAGCTGCCCCTCCCAGCAGTTTACTGCTGCCTCTCCATGCAGAGCTAACACCTGGGAGCTTCAGAGAGGGGACACTGAGGGTAAAGGGGCCGGGGGGGGGCATGACTCAAGCTATTGGGTGGGAAGTGAACCTTTACATTCTGGCCCTGTCCTGATGCCCAGAAGACTAGACATCTCTGGCAGAAGCCCCTAGCCTCACCACCCCGCCACAGGCAGTCTGGTATGTGGAGAACGGGCAAGCCTGGAGGGCTCTGCAAGCCGCACTTTAACGGTAAAAGAGCCGCATGCGGCTCACAAACTGGTTTGTCCAGTAAGACTGTATGGTAACCATGTGGGGGTAGGGCAAAAAATGAGTCAATTAATGACCAGAGGGGCAGAGTTTTCCCCCAAGATGGGCCCAGCTGACACACATGACACACCCAGACTCGGGCACCAACACAAGCATAACAAAGAAACAGGAACTGGGTTGTCCTAGGGGTTTTTTAAACTCTCTACTTCTAGGGGGATTTTTTTTGTCTGTATTGTTACAGGCATACTTGCTAACAGGTATTTGAAATAAATTACCAAAACTATTGAAACTGGCATGATTATATTGTGTTGTTTTGACAAATAAAATATGCAGAATTTGAATGTACTGTGCAGATTCCGCCAAGATTAGTACTTCTGCTGCAAAACAGTTAGTAAATATATTCTGCTTAAATTTTCCTAAATAACTGTGTGTGGTTATGAACAAATGTAAGATATTTCTAGAAACTTATGAGGTTTTTTTCTTCCCCTTTAGAGTGGAGAGATTCAGCCAGTTAGTGTAAAAGTTGGTGAGAAGATTCTGCTGCCAGAATATGGCGGTACTAAAGTAGTACTGGAAGACAAGGTTTGTTTGCTGAACTTTATAATTGCAAGCTAAATTGGTTTACTAATATTCAGGATTATTTTAAAATCCTTCTAGCTAATAGGCCATGTGAAAAAATGAATAGTGTTGTTGACAAACTGAATGACTGATACAACTGCTAATATTCAAATTGAGGAGCATCAAGCTGGCCCTGTGGCTTTTGCACACTACACATCTGTGATCCTCTGCTGTGAGAGAAACACTTCTGCCCCTGACATTTCCCCATACCTGCAGAGAGAAAGTGGTTCTCTTTACCTGTCAACTTATCTTGGGAGGAAAAAAATATAGAGGGCTGACTGCAATGTCCTCCTTGGTGAGGAGGAGAGAAGATTCCAGAGCCTTCTATCACTAAATGTTACTGCTCCCATGAATTCGTGAACATGGTCTCCGAGGATGCTCCTGCCAGGAAAATTTACCCCAGAGCCTTGCACAAAGGGGTGAAAAAATCCCCAGGAATGAAAGAAACATAGTGACAGGCTCTCGGGGCAACAGATATTTATAAAAGTCCTTGGGTTAATAGTTCCTTTGATTGTGTAGTATTGGCTTCAGCCTTCAGCAATAAATCAATCTCAGTAACTACAATATTTAGTGCTACTGACCCTGGAGACAGTTACTAGTTCTGTGAGATTTGGCTGCAACAGATATAAACTTATTTTTTTCTCTCCATTTGCAGGAGTATTACTTATTTAGAGACGGTGACATTCTTGGAAAGTATGTGGACTAAATTTCTCAAATGGCTGCAGTATCATGAAGTTGTCCATTCCACTAAAGTGCTGAAATCTTTTTCCATCATGTAAATAATTTCCTGTTCTTTATTTTATAATAAACAGATAACCAGTCTCTATGAAAATAACTCCTACAGTTCCATTGTAGTGATGCAAACACTTCAAAATAAAGGAATGTGTACAGTCAGAGAAACACATGTTCATTCTTATTTTGGAGTTCCATTGAACAGTTCAAAGTGCTGCTGTTAGTTTGAATTTTTGTAACTTTTCCAGATTGCAGAAAATTCAATTTCGATACCCTCTAAACTGTCCTGAATTTTTTAATTTTATTTTAAAGGAATTTTAGAATGGTGGAGTGTTTTTGTTTTTGCTGCCTTATAGATGTTTGTGTGGTTTCATTGTTCATCTGCTTCTCTTACTGCTCCCCAGAAACAGTGAAACTGACTACATCCAAATATGACTTCCATGCATACCTGCAGTACAGTTGTACTGGTAACAAACACTATGTTGTTTCCAAAAAAAATAGACTAAGAGCTGGAAGGACTAAACCCCCTCCGCAGAAGAGTGCTACAGAGATTATTTTATTGTAATTGCTGAACTAGGTGATACTCCTTTTCTTGTTCAACCTACCCGTGGCAACCTCTTTTCTGGTTTAATATGAACCAGACATCTTCTATAGAAACATTACAATTGTTGCTTAATATAAAAGTTATACATTCACACAAAGACATTGTGTAGGCAGAGGCGTTGAATATTCATGTTATACAGTAGACTCTTATTAATATGCTGTCTATCCACTCCGCAAAATTATGTTCTGTAATGAAGCTTAATGTCAATAAGATGACAACGTTTTTAAAAAACATACTTCAGTGCATTTCTATGGCCTTACTGCTAGATTTGAGTCCTGTTACCTTCTGTAAAGACACAACCACTGGAGCAGAATTATCTTATCAACTGGGGATATACAGAGGTCTTCCAAGGGGTACCTCAACTCATCTAGATAGCTGCCTGGTTTTACAGCAGGCGACATAAAAAGCACTAGTGAAGTCAGTACAAACTAAAATTTCATCCAGACAATGACTTGTTTATACTGCTTGTTAGGAATAAGCCCTCTAACACTGCTTTATACACTGAAGTGTAAACACAATATTTATATTCCAGTTGATTCATAATTATATGGTAAAAATGAGAAAGTAAGCAAATTTTCAGTAATAGTGTGCTGTGACACTTTTGAATTTTTGTCTGACTTTGTAAGCAAGTAGTTTTTCAATGAGGTGAAACTTTGGGTATGCAAGACCAATCAGACTCTTGAAATGGGTACCCTAGTCTGGAGAGGTTGAGACAGTGCTGTACTCCCCCCCCACCTTGGCCTTTTCTGTGATGCACCCTGTCAGCAGTCAGTGAGGTTGAAGTTTGCTACTCCCTTCTTCCACCAGCAGCAAAGTGTGGTTTTAATTTATCCAAGATATGTACTGTGATTTAGACCAGTGGTTCTCAACCAGTGGTCTGTGACCCCAGTGGGGCCTTGGGCTTGAATCTCTGTGTCCCGTTGCTCCCCGTGGGGCAGAAGCCATGAGCAGAGTTGCAGGGGCATGGGAGTGTTACGTCCAGGACTGCCTAGCTCTGACACTGCAGTTTTGGGGGCATCTCCCTACCTCTTCCCTGGCATCTGAGGCCCCAACCCATGTTCAGGTAGGAGGTGGGAAGCAACTGCTGCTCTGCTCCATGGTACCAGTCAGGTAGCTGCGGCATTCCCCTGTTTCCTGCTGGTGCCCAGCGTTGCAGCTGCTCCTTAGCTCCCAGCCTCCTGTGAATGCTCATGCAGCTTATAAGAGCCGTCCAGGTCAGGGATCTAGCTCCATGTCTGGCAGAGCTCTTGGGGAGCAGCAACTGCAGGGGAGTTCTCTTGGCCCCCTACATTAGGGTTAACCAAGACCCATAACAAATTTAGCCCTCCTATGTGTTGGTTTATGAACATGGTTGTTGGATGGGGGAACCAAGTTAGGCTTCAGCTTGTGTGTGTTGGGTTTGGCTTTTTGTAATGGCCCTCTAGGTGGCCAGGGCTTGGAAGTTACTGGCTCACAATAGGCTGGGTTTAAAGGCTTTTCCCATCATGTAGTATATGGACTACAAAGAAAATAGCACTGTGGTGGTTTTGAGGTATTTGTCAATCCAGAAGCATATTCCAGAACATACAGTGGTGGTTCATTTATACAGACATAGCATTCTTATACGGTAAATATTACCCAGCCATGATTTAATTTTAACTGAAGTAACATTTTTTTCCTTAAGCAACCAACCCTTGCACTCAGCTTTTTTGGAGGGTAAGAAAATAACTTCTTCAAAAGGAGATTCAAGGTCACTCAAACTTAACAGTGTGTTAACCTTTATACAGAAAGTTCCTTTTCAATAGGGAAGCTTAATATTTGGCTGCCCAGACCTGATTTAATTTTGTGTTCATTGAATTTATTTACATCCTAAATGGAATTCTGATTCCTGTGGGGTTTTTCTGAAGCAAAAGAAACAGGTGCAGTTGTTGTTACTACTACTGACAAAACTTTAACAGTAATAGTATGAAAAATACTGCTACTTATAAAAAAGCCAGTCTGCATATTAGACGACCAAAATAACTGTGAAATCAAAGTTCCAAGAAAAATGTAAGGAAATTATGAGCCCAATCCTGTGCCCCTTGAAATGAATGGCAACAGGCTAGAACTTTTATTTAAAAAATGCTGCTTTTATGCTCTAAATATCGTGAGTTGAGGGTTTAATGGTCTAAACTTCAGGACTGAAATAGCTGGACTTCCTGGAACCATAACTGTATTTTGTATTGATCGTATGTTGATAATGTTAGCTCAGTCTTTTGATCTTCCAAGGTAGATAAGGATTGCCAACTGTGGCTCTTTTGGAGGAGACCTTAAGTCAAGACCCCCTATGGTTTATGTGTGGACATTCATGATCTCACGTGGCCTGGTGTCTTTAGCCAAAATGCTCCCTGCCCCAATTTTGTAGTATT